TTAAAGCAGGACAATCTCCACTGCATCTGCACTGACAGAGGAGAAGGGGCACTGGGTTCCCTGCGAAAATCCACAATCATCTGTGTTTTCTTCACATTGATGCACAGATTGTCAGCTGGAGGCCTGGTGCAAAACAGACCTCCCTTCTGTAGTTGGACTCATCGCTGCGTCATCAGCAAACTTCACTGTATGATTGGATGGATAGTGAGCGACAGAGTCATAAGCAGCAGTCATGAGCAGCGTGTACAGTATGGGAACCTGTCGTCCCTCTCTCTTGGTCTTAAAGGTTGTATAGAGGATTTTCCAAGGAACGAGAAATCAAGCGACTGTTTGTCCTTTTTCAAATGTTGCGCATGCGTGAAACCACCTCCCCTCCCCCACAGCTCCTACGTAGAAACGCCTCCTCCCTCCTCCTCCTTACGCCAGAAACAGGTTTGTTTTACAGCCGGTGCGCTGCACATGACTTGTAAACAACTAACTACAGTGTTGGTTAGGCAAGACGGAGAAGTGAGGAGCGGGGGGAGCGGGTGCGCGGACATTTCGTGCGCTGACGAGAAGTGAGGAACAGGGAGAAGAGAGAGGAGAGAGGAGAGAGGAGAGGAGAGGGGAGCGGTGCGTGGAGATTCCGTGAGGAGCAGGGAGAAGAGCGGAACGGGCAGAGAAGGGCGCGGAGATTCCGAATGAACTAGCTACTACTACAACACGCAGCAGCAAGCGGACTCTTTCTTTCTTTGCCTTGAAAATTACGTTTTCAGACATAGGATATCGCTTTCGTGTCCTGAAAAACGTTTGACTAACTCTTGGAAATAAAGTACGTTTTCATAATAAGCAGAAGTTTCCTGTCCAGGAGTAATTTGGCGACCAGTGCGTCAGTCTTTAGACCCTGCGTCTGCTTCAGTCGCGCCATCGCTGGAATGAATCTTCAAGAATCACCTTAGTTTGGCTTCGCTGCTTTTCCCCTTGTCTTCTTCTTTCAGCGGCCTCAAAAACGGACTTTCTTTTGCGGCGAACTGCTCCTGGATTCTTGTCGCCATTGCAACAAACTTTGTGTGAACTGCGAGGAAGATATAGGTCAAAAAAAGCCGCTAAGAACTGTTGCGTTGGTGGAGTAAACAGCGTCTGTGCGTCTTGCGTCTGTGGACTGCGTGACAGTCGTACGTAAACCACGTACCGGCGGCGCAGGCAAGTCAGTTACACTAGAAACGTAGGGAGTTTGATTGACAGCCTGTCAGCTCACAGATAACGAGGCAGTGTCGTTATCTATTGGCAAATGTTTAGCCCCACCACGTCCAGAGTTGATGAATTTTTATTCTCTTTTTTTTGGTCATCATAATTACAAGGCGACTGCATCTATAATCTATCACTGACAATTTGAAACAAAACAAAAAAATCCTCCATACAACCTTTAAAACGTTCATATTAACCCGCTCTACATGATCCTGGGGTTTTTATTTCATTATTTTATCCATCTTTAATCATAATATAGAACTCAGCTCCAAATTCGCTCCCATATCCACCAGCCTCAGTGAGCTTCATTTGACTGGAGCAGAGTCGTGTTCTTTTTACAGTGTGTGGGAGCGATGCATCTGGACCTGTGCTACCTGATATCTGCCCTTTGACCTTTGAGTCCAGTGTCCTCTGTGCCCTCTGTAGAAAAGATCTGGTGTGTGTGTGTTACATAACGCGTCGGCTCTGTGTCTGCGTGAGCGACGGCTCATGAACAATTCAACGGAAAGTGGAAAAAACAATTTGTCGTGTTCATTTAATTTAAAGCTCCTAAATCACACAAAACTGACTCTTGTCACGATTAATCCATGTTCCTCATCACAAACAAACCTGGAGTTGTGTTTTTCATTCACATGTTTGAGTAAAACTTTAATCAGTCTGTCTCCATCTCTAAACCTCAAGATGCTCTGCTCCACCTTGTGATGTCATGAAGTGGTAGTTTTCACGTGAACAGCTCCTTTTCTTTTTACTTCAGTAGAGTTTGGCATTTCCAGAAAAGCTGAAATGATCCAAATGATTCTAGTGAAGATGTGTGGAGTTTAAAAATACAACGGAGCACTTGCCTGTGTTACCACATGACATCACAAGGTGGAACAGAGTGTTTTCTTTTTCTCTTTGCAAGAAGAACTCAGCCTAAATGTGCAGGTTTGTGTGTTAAACTCCAGGTCTGTTTGTGATGAGGAAACTACATTAGAACTAAGTGTGCAAAAATATTAAAATACTGATATATAATTTAATGTGATGATACAGTATCGATATCGTGGACTGCTGTATCGATATAGTCCTGCAGTCCTGCACCAGGTCGGGCCAGAGTCCGGCACCAGATTCTTGATGCATGTTTACACGCATCAAGAATTTCGGACTTCCGGTCATTGCACAATCCGTACTGGGAAGGATCCTCAGAAAACGTGAGCATCAAACCTCCATGTTTGATTTCCCAGGGGGATGTGTTTATTGTCAAAGTCGATCTTTTTGAGTCTGAGTAACTTTTCTGAGGGTCCGTCACCTGCTTGTTTCCATGGAGATGTCACGGTTTTGCCTGAAATGTTTGACAATATGGCATTAAACTTGTCTATATTTATGGGGACGAGCAGGAGATGCCAACAGGCCAAGTTACAGATCAGATCAGCGCAGAGGCGACTCACACACAGCACAAATGTGGGCCTCTGTTCTTCAAGGTATTTTTAGCAATAAAATAACAGCTTTGACGATAAATTGGAAAAATAAAATTAGCACAAATATACTGTATTTTTATTTGATTCCTGATATTTTGTAGCCAGGCTGGTGCCGCCTGGTCTTTGTCCAGTGACTAGATCAGGAATCAGAATACACTAGATGGTTTACAAGAACCCCAGAAGTGTGAGTCTGGGCACCAGCCAATCAGAGAAGAGACAGACATTCTGTATTTTTTAGGATTTAAAGCCAGAACAAAGAGAATGTTTGGTGAATTTTATGGGGAAAGACGTTATTGCTCGTGATGGTGAGATGAAGCCTCATGAGGCATTGAGATTGAGAAAGGTTCATTTCTCAAAGCTTCATGTGCGCATGACACCACCTACTGGCCAAGTGTGTAATCACAAACAGCTGTATCGCAGCTGAGGCATTGAAATTTTGTCTGTTATGTCTGTTGGGAATGACTATGAGTTACAAAAAATTTATGACCAAATAATTTCTCTACATATATGATCACATATGTGTATAATCCATTTTTCATGTATTCTGTGTGAATAAATTTTCGCAAAATAATAATATCATAATATGGCAGGTGAAGCTGTTTTTCTGAAAATGGCAGAGGTGTACCGTATTTTCCGGGCTATTAGATGTGCTCTTAAGCCTCCAACCCCATCAAAAAACGGCCGCACGCCGCAATCCAGAGCGCCCTATACATGAATCCACTCAGGTGTCCCAGCACGACTTCAGTAAACTACAAAGCCGCACCACACGCAGAACACACAAACACACACGGAGCAGACAGCGACCGCACAGTGAACGGTGGAACGAACCCGAAAAAATTAGTGCAATGTGCCACTTCTAGACACAACTGAACAACTGAGTCACTGCGAACACGTCGACAATCCGTTGGTCCCAGACACACACCCTCCCTACACGCCACAACTGAACAAAGCCCAGAGTCACCGTGAACGAACAAACAAACAAAACCACTCACCCATCACACTGTTGGGTTTCCTTTAAAGTCCCACGCGGTTTATTTGTGAAAAAAGTTCAAAAATAGACCATTTAATGACAGTGCATCTTATAATCCAGAGCCACTAATAGTGCAGAAAATACAGTAATCAGGCAGAGGACAGTGAAAATGCTTGTGGAAGTAGGAAAAGGGCACAGGTTACGTTTGTGTTACTTGGACATTGATGTACAGGACAGGGGAAATTTTATTCATTTTTATTCAGAAACAAGAGCGTCTCAACAGTTTTTGGTTTTAAACAATTTCTTTTTTTTTTTTTTTTGACACAACCTCTCCGGTCTTGGAGAGACTATAAACTCTATCCAAACTCTCCCAACTCTCACCTGACCGCAGCTCTCCTTCAGACACCCACATTTTGGATGGAGCCTGAGGGTTTATATCGCTCACGGCAAAATCATCACGTGGTAGAGCCGGCAGCAAGGCTTCGGACGTCATCGTGTTTGACTCCTTCACGTGTTTCGCAGAAACACCCCCTTCATTACTCGATACACTCTTCGAAGCCTCGGCACGTCTCGTAACGTAACTAGTTATTGTCCTTCTTCCTGTGAGATTTGGCGCATTACAGACGTCACAACCAAACAGCAGCGATTGGTTAAATAAAAAAAGTACCTGCCTACTGTCGAGCGAACGAGTCCTAATGCTGCGAGGTCACACGGTTTCCACCAAGTGAAACAGGCTGATGAATCAGACTGGATATTTTGAGGAAAACAGCAAAACCTGCAGATAGGTGGTAATCAGTAAAAGTGTAAAAGTAGTAGTAAACTTGTGTATAAATTAGTTTTGTAATAAGTTTATGGATTTTGTTTGTGTATTTGTTTATTTGAGCCAATATTACGCTTTTTCTCTGTTGTGTTTCATTCACACGTTTAACACAAAAAACTGTATATTTAGACTGAGTTCCTCTCTCAAACGGAAAGAAGAACTCAGTGATGTCATGTGGTGATACAGGAAGTGCTCCATTGTGTTTTTAAACTTCATACATCTTCACTAGAATCATTTGGATGATTTCAGACCTGGAATTGCTGATCTTGGAGATGTAGGCCGACTAATAATAAAGAGTTACTCAAACGTGAATGAAACAAAACACAACTCCAGCTTTGTTTTTGAGGAGGAAACAACATTAGAACATAGATTAAAATTCACAAGAGTCATTTTTACATAATACAGAACTTTAAAACAGTGTCTGACCTGTACTGACCTCTGTCCATTTGAGAAGTTTCACATGAACTCATCAGTTAAAAAAAAATTTCATGAACTCGTCCTGAACTCTTTAATCACATTTTTGCCGTAG